CCGGAGCGTCTGTCGGCACCGCAACGCTTCGCGGCGGGCGATGCTTCGCGATCAGCCGTTTCATCCATGACGCGGTTCACGCGTTGGACCGATGGGACCGTTCTTGCCTCGAACGGTGCGACGTGCGACCAGGGTCGGCACAGCTCACAAAAAAATGATCATGCGCTAAAAACGAAAATGCTACTAAACCGATACTTTTATCTCCTGTTGATGAAACGCACTCTCATTTTTTGAATCAGAGAAAGCGAATTAAAAGTGAGAACGAAAACCAAGTCTTCTAGCCCTGCTCCCGACTCATTTTGCTATGCTGCGTCTATTTCGTCTGCGCAAAGGATGTTTTTATTTTGTTTCAGCGAAAACACCTTTTGTGTGCGTGTGTCCACGCAGGAGAAACGCATCGCGTCCTTGGACGCCGCCAACGCTCGCCTCATGAGCGCCCTGACGCAGCTGAAGGAGCGCTACAGCACGCAGTCGCGCAACGGCATCTCGCCCACCAATCCCACCAAGCTGCAGATCACCGAGAACGGAGAGTTCCGCAACAGCAGCAACTGTTAGATGGAAACTTTGAGTCGCCGGAGGGAGGGGGGGGACAACCTGGCTCCCGCCGCCCTCCCCTGCGCGAGTCAGAAAAGGCGCAGCTTGGCCGGACGGGGCTTCGGCCGCGAGGGGCGGCTTGGCCGCTTGTACATACGTAGCAAAAGAGACGGTGACGACCGGGGACCAACCACTACGTCTTTGTGGACGCCGACTTGGCAAAGAAGCAGGCGGGAGCTTGGAAACGCTGAGGTTTGCGCGTGGCGTGGGAAGCGAGCTCGTCTTCGGGCCTCGCCCCCCCGCCCCGCTTGGCGCCCCGCTCGGACCCTCCCCGGCAGTGCGCTTTGTGAACGCCGGCCGGTACATGCGATGCCTTAGGCGAAGGATGCCGACTTCCTTCCACAGCTCCCCGTTCCTGCAAAAAAAAAAGTTTCCGAAAGAAAAACAAATGTCCTCGCGTTTTTAACGGTAACACAGATAGGCAGGCAGTATGTTGGTGTCCGAAGTGGGATCCAATGCCCGAACCAACGAAATGATAAATGTTGCCATTTCGGAGCCGTCTTAGTTTTCACAGTCGTACAGAAAATGTTGCCACGTGGACTGGTGTCAGAAGTGGGGTCCAACACTCTTGGTGTTTTCCCAGCGTGTGTGGCAGAAAGATGGGACGCATTGGCACGGCGAGCCACTCGAAGGCCCAATTTCACTTCTTGTCGTTTTCAAGGCGAGTTCATCAAGGCTCTGTACGAGTCTGACGAAAACTGCGAGGTGGACCCGTCCAAGTGCTCCTCGGGGGACCTCCCGGAGCACCAGAGCAACCTGAAAATGTGCTGCGAGCTGGCCTTCTGCAAGATCATCAACTCGTACTGGTGAGTCGCCGCCGCCGCCGCACCCGCGCCCCCCCCCGGAAACCAACTCGGCTTTTGTCGTTTCAACCCAGCGTTTTCCCGCGAGAGCTGAAGGAGGTTTTCGCGTCGTGGCGGCAAGAGTGCGGCAACCGCGGCCGGCCGGAGATCAGCGAGCGGCTGATCAGCGCCTCGCTCTTCCTGCGCTTCCTGTGCCCGGCCATCATGTCGCCGTCGCTCTTCAACCTGATGCAGGAGTACCCCGACGACCGCACGGCGCGCACCCTCACGCTCATCGCCAAGGTCACGCAGAACCTGGCCAATTTCGCCAAGTGAGTGGTTGGAAGGCTTCAAGTGCTTTTGTCCTTCTCAAAAACGTGCAGCTCACTTTCTTTTAATGCCCGGAGACTGGAAGGGACCGATGTCATTTCCAAGGGGGGGCGAATGCCACTTCTCTCAAGGCGCCACGGGATGCGACTTTGGAATTGAGAGTGTCGTTGCGCTCGTCAGGTTCGGCAACAAGGAGGAGTACATGTCCTTCATGAACCAGTTCCTGGAGCATGAGTGGAGCAACATGCAGCGCTTCCTGCTGGAGATCTCCAACCCGGAGACCATCTCCAACACGGCGGGCTTCGAGGGCTACATCGACCTGGGCCGCGAGCTCTCCACGCTGCACTCTCTCCTCGCCGAGGTCCTCTCCCAGACGGAGCAGGTAGCGCGACGCCGCCTCCTCGCCCATCGCGTGATCATGTGGGCGGTACCGAGCGACGGGGTCCAAGTTGAGACGCGTTCGTGTCCCCACGAACCTCGCCCTCGTGTCACGTTTGTTCCCGTTGTCGCTCCAAAATGCGCACGGGTCAATTTGACCCGCCGGTTCGTTTCATCGTCCAAAAGGTCCCAAAGCGTGAACGTTTACGTCTTCATTGGCTTCAAGAGCGAACATGTCCGCAAAGATGTTTTGGACTGAATATTTAAAATGGGTGACTTGTTTGTCACGAATTGTTTCAGGTTCCTCGGCACAAGTCGTGACCCGTCGCATGGCGACACGCCCGTCATCTTTTTTCGATTTGGGTTTCTCCAGTTTCTTTGGATTGGGGGGGAAAAAAGACAAGAAGCCGTACCGCGCAGCTCCTGCCGCCGCGAAGAAAAGTGGCTCCCTCGAATCGTGCTCGGAATACATGAGGATATTTATCTGGGCCTCGATCAATAATTTATGATGCCGTTACATAAACAGCGCGGGAGCACGGAACACGGCGTAATCATGATTTTTTTTTTTTTTTTTCTGTCGGGGGGCATTCGCTTGGGGAGCAGATGGGGAAGCCGGTCATCATCAGATTATGACTTCCATCTGTTGGGAAAGGACAAAAAGAAAGCAAGAAAAATCAATAATTGAGGCACGAGTCGCTCAGAGCGGCGGCTTTGAAATTCAGCGCTCACCGCGGCTTTCCAACGGCTCCTCCGGGCCACCGGTCGCCGCCGCGCCCGCGGGGTCGCCGGAGCGGACGGCCTCGTCGCCCGCCGAGGCCGGCTGCGGCATCTCGACGGGGC